TTGGTATTCAATTATAAAATGGTTGGCTTTGGTTTCTTACCGGAGTTTATAGTTTGTACTAGTACATTGCTATTTTTTGAAATAATATTTGAAATAATCTTTTGGAGCTTAACTTGTCTAACATTCGGAGCTTAACTTTTCTAACATTCCACGATGTATTTTAGGTGACTTTGACTATATTTTACATGGCTTTGATAAATATGGTGGTCATCATTTTCAAACTAACTAATATGTTTGAATTTTTTGGGATTTTACAAAAAAATTATGTTTTAAAGAATTTGGGTTTTTTTAGTTCTAAGTTCACTTGGTGTAATAATCGAAAGGATCATGCATGCATCTATATACATCTTGATAGAGTTTTTGCTAGTCCTCTCTAGATTCATTTATTTAATGACTCTTCTATTTACCACATTCTTAGAACGATTAAGTTTCATATTAAACATGAATATGAATAGTACATACTTTTTCGATTTCAAAACTTTTAGTCCGAGTATACTAAAACAATCAATTTGGTTAAATCCAATTAGAATAACCCCTCAAATAACACTAAAACAATCAATCTCTGTAAGTTGAGAGGTGTTTTTTCATACTAGAACATACACTCAGCTTAGCAATTTAGATTATAATTTAGAGATTCTTTAGAATACTATCATGGCTTTTGAATCCTAAATTGAAGAGTTTACCCTTTATGATTCTAACCTCTAGTAATTAAATTCTTTGTACAACTGTCAGTTTATCCTCATTAAGCAAATTAATCTTTGATGGTGGGCTAAAGCAAAATGCTTCCGAATAAATGATGGTGATAGAAATGTCAAATACTTATTTAATATTTTAGCTAATCATCATTATAAAAACTTTATTAAAGGTATCTTGAACCCTAGCAGGGGTTGATTCTTGCACTAATAAAATTAATTCCCTAATTTGCTAGTATTACATTGACTTATAGTAATCTCCTCCCTAAACCTCAATTTTGCACTAGTTGGCCATGCATCCCCTCCTAGATGTTACAATGGAAGAAGACTATCTATAATCAAACCATTTACTATATATGAGATTCACTCTATGGTTTGGTCCTTAGGGATGGGAAAGAGTCTTAGCCCCGGTAACTTGATCTATGAGTTTTATCGAACTTATTTGGATATCATTACCCTCCTCTTCTTTTAATATTTTTAAATGGTTCCACCAACATCCTTTCATCCCTCTTTGCTAAACCAAAATCATTTTTACTTTTTTATCCCTAAGATAAAAACCCGATTATGATTATTCATTATCGAACTATTGCTTTATCAAATGTTAACTATCATATTTTAACTAAGGTTTTTTCTAACCATAGGAAACCTTATCTTCAATATCTCATTAGTCCCCACCAAACAATCTTTCTTCCTAATCAAAGCATTCATGACAATAAACTAATTGCGCAGGAGGTTGCTCGTACCATTAACTCCTCTAAGGGAAAAAAATATTTAATCATTGTTAAGATTGACTTAAAAAAAGCTTTTGACCTCTCTTGGTTAGCTATTCTTTGTGTTCTCTCTATTATGAATTTCTTTTATGAACTTCAAAACTAGACCCAAGCTTATATTTCCTCTTCATTTTTTGTCTATTTCATTAGTGGCATATTTCTTTAACTTTCAATAGTTGATACCGAGTTAAGACAAGGAGACCCTCTCTCTACTTACATATATATCTTAGTTGTACAAATTTTAGCTTAACTTTATACTCAAGATATTGAGTCTAATCATCGTTCTTCCTTTAAGTTTGGCCCTAATTATAGCACTAGTTATTTCATGTGTATCGATGATATCTTTTCATGTTTCGAGGTTGATAAAAAGTCTTACTTGGCCATCCAGTCTATTATTATTATTATTATTATTATTATTATTATTATTATTATTATTATTATTATTATTATTATTATGTGTATATATATATATATATACATGTATATACACATATATATATATATGTATATATATACATATATATATATATGTATGTATATATATATACATATATATATATATGTATGTATATATATATATAAACATACATATATATATATATACATATATATATGTAAAACTACAACTAAAGAGGCTTAATGTTTCTTAAAATAGAAGAATTATGCGCTACAATCCAATTGATACGATTGACAATATTTTATAGAAACTTCCTATTACTCTAAAAATCCAAATGTTGTGTTGAAAATGACTCTACAAGAGGTTGCCTACTATAAATAGATTTCACTGGCTACACATACAACCCTATTAGTCTTGTCCATTTTGTCACAATATAATTAAAAGCATTACACACTTTTTTTAATATCCCTATTCAATCAAGTTTGAGATAAATGGTCTCAAGTTCAACCCAATTCCTCCTCAAAGAGTCTTGAAATATTAGTGATTAGCTTCAAGAAAGATCCTCCCTTGACTTTGGGAGTTGAGTCTATCATTACAAATCAATTATGGTTTCTCTTCATTTACAGGAAAATTATCCTCTATATTAGGGACCTGGTTCCAAAAAATTATATTTACCAGCCATTATGTGAGATCCACCCTTCCTAAGGGTAATAGAATGAATAATTAATTTTATATGGGTTAAATAAAGTAAACTATTCCTGGTTGGGTTAAGTTAAACACTGATGTTTGTGATTTGTGATAAAGATGACACTTGCAAAATTGTTGGACAACAATATATACAAAACAAATTATTGCTCTACTGTGAAGCGTACTTTTAGTAGTCCAAATTGAATTTGACACCTCAACTTTTTGCGACTTATTAACCAAAAACTTGATATTCGAACAACAATTAAGTGACATCAAAGTTCTATCTCAATTGATATCATACACAATCAATCTTATACTGCTTTTGCCAATATAATCAATCAAGCAGTCAATTGGGGTACGTACATATATTGCCCATATAAATAAATATGCTTTCTTTTCAATTAATCTTAATTCTACACTCTAACCTCCAAAGATTTTTAATGGTCTGACAAAAGTGTTTTTTAAAGGCCACCCTAAAAGAGAATAATACAAACCCAGGAAAGTTTGGTTTCTGTCCGCTGATGGCTGTCTACTAAGAGAGATGATTGCACTTTCACTGTCACAAGGCGCAAGAAGTTGCATCATCTCTCTAATGAAAGCCACAAAGCCAGTGTACAAAAACACATTGTAATGCTGAAGCTCCATCTTGCAGTTGATTCATGGAGATGAGTGGTGGCTCAGAATCCCAACAAGGGCCACTTGGTTTCTTGCAGTGCGCTCGGCATTAGACACCACATGCCAAAGCCAACCGATGCTCTTTAATGCAGAAGCAACAAGAGCCACAAGCACACCTTTCCCGAGTTGCTGAAGGAATTAATTCAAGTGCTTGAATGCATTGCACAAAGTAGTCCTCCAGTTCCTAACCATGCCACGCCCATTGCTCGGTTGACATCTGTCGATCGAGCTGTGGCGAATCCAGATTCCAACTCTTATCCATTCCGTGATTACCAGCAATATGAACATAGTCTCTGCATCACAAGAAGAATGAGCAAGTGAGAAAATGGGAGCAGATTTTTTAGCAGGTCTCATCATCATGTTGCTTTTTCCTTGAGGCAAAGTTTGTTTAATAAGCATTATATATTACTGCAAAAAAATTCCAGTTCCAGTTCGATTGCCATAGTCCAACCATCGGGCAAAATTATTGACATCAAACATGTCACTCACAATGTGTGATGGATGTGCTTTGAATTAGTATTCACTTCATTCATCACTTTACATCTCTTGTGGAAGTTGATGTTTCAGAAAGTCGATATCTGATATATTTATGAGTATTAATGGAGATGGTTATTGTAGTGGTTATTTTGATTTATTGTCATGATTCTTTTTACTCTGTTAGTTCACAAGAGCATTTATGCAAGAATTTTTTTAATAGAGGCTATTAAAATAATTTGACATTTTGAATGAAAGAAAATTCTGTAGTTTTTTAGTTTCCTTATAAATATACCAAAAAAAAAATTATGTATTTCATCAGCCTATTAGGAAAAATCATCATAGGGCGAGATCCGATAAAACTATATATTTATTTGTTTGCAATCAAGATTTTACTTATAGAGGTAAAATTACATATGATGATCTTAAACCTAACATTAACAAAAACTTATTGTCATGTCCACATTTTTAAAAGAAAATTCTCTAGTTTTTAGTTTCCTTATAAATATAAGAAAAATGATCTTAAAACCTAACATTAACAAAAACTTGTTGTCACGTCATGTCCCTCTGAGACTTCACATATCTAATAAGCTTATGGATATTGCCAATTTAGAGACAGTAAGTAAATGACTCTCCAAGCAGATACCATAATTATTCCCACAATTTTGTTTTCTACTGACAGTGCCCATGCTTTCCTCCGGTTAATCTCATGGGAATATAATTATCTATTTCAGAGCACTTTGATTTGCACATTCTGCTTAAATAATATCTTGCTTTGATTCCATTCACCTCTCCATTAATCAAGCTTTTAGCTTTTGATTTGAGAGCCCTCCCAATATCATGCAAATTCTAACCTTCTCATCCTTAATTTTGGTCAACCACCAACAGAACACACCAAAAAAGGGAAGGAATTCGACTACAAGTATCTTGTCAATTAAGAAGAGATGAGAAGCAACTTTTCACCACCCAACTACTAAAATTCCTTCCAAGATGGTTTATCCAAAAGCATCTTTGCTGAGAGTGGCTGTGCGGATGATTTCTTCCGACGCAAGTTGTACTGTTCACCATCTGCCGTCATACTTTGCTGTCAGGAGTCCAAACACTGCCAAAGAAAGTGTGGCAAAGCAGCATCAGTAGATACCAATTTTTAATGCACTGTCACAGCCCTTAGCAGCTTACTGAATCAAGGTGTGGAAGGACAGCATTAGGAGATAGAGATTTCTTGGAAGTCAAAGCAAGAGAGAAGCCACTCCTGGCCACGAGTTCCACAGGCCACCCACAGCCACATCTTGGTAGCCCCCCACTGGCCAAACAGTAGCAGTCATCTTCGACAATGCATCGGAATTATAATGGGTTCTATTCTCTCCATTTGAATCCTTCCTTCCATTCTGATGCTCTCCTGATAAGCGGTATGTCCTCACTGAGCTAGCTTTACGGGAGCCTGCACCTGAGATCAGTTCTTGTTTCTCTCTCGCTCTCTCTCTCTCTCTCCGTCAGCTCCCCTGTCTTTGCTGCCTCTGAGGGAGATAACTCTTCTCTGGTTGTGCAGTATGGTGCCTGCTGAGGTGACCTGAAGCCTGAGCAAGAGGAGGAAGAAGACATAGCAGAGAGGTTGGTAGAGAGAGAAGGGAAGAAAGGAAGAGGAAAGAGTGAGGAGGCATGAAGATCCAGTGCGACGTGTGCGAGAAGGCGCCGGCGACGCTGATATGCTGCGCCGACGAGGCCGCCCTTTGCGCCAGCTGCGACGTCGAGATCCACTTGGCGAACAAGCTGGCGAGCAAGCACCAGAGGCTTCGCCTCGACTGCCTCTCCAACAAGCTCCCTCGCTGTGACATCTGCCAAGTACTATACTCAACTGAACACCCCCCCCTCCCCTTTTGCCTTGCCTTTCTCTCCTCTCATGCTCTCAGTCATCTCTCTTGCAGCATGAGGTGAGCAACTTAGACAAGGGAGTTCAAATCTTGACATGCTAAAGCTTGACAGTTTATTCTGTAGTTTCAACATTATTCTGAGTCCTTCAAATCATCTATAATAGCATGTAGATCAATTCTTCTCATTTTTGGGGCACCATTACCTCGAAACAGATATCAATCTGGTATTTCTTCATTGCAGTAAACTTGTGATGTCAGAATTGGAACTCTAGTAAATGGATTTGAATCATACAGAAAGAGATATTAGACACAAAACAGAGGGGCCTTCCTATGGTAATCAAGATATTAGCACAATGGTTAATACCACAGCTAAATATATAACTCAAGGTTAGGAGGGTTCAAAATCAATCAAGTAATTATGAAGGAGGACTTTTAATTCATTTGATTCAATGGATACTCACAATAAAGTTATCCATAAGATAAGTGTAGCATTTTCCTAGTTAGATTCGATAAGCTTTCAGAATGGCAGAGTCATCAGGAATATCTTCTTAGTGTTTGAGTGTGGTTCTTATCTCTTCCTTTGGGGAAAATATGCAAGTGGATTTATGGGGCTATAACATGATGTTGCTTATTGAGAGCATAGTCTTTTTTTTTATTCACATTTGAAATGGAGTCTGAAAATTTTGTAGGAATGGTACTGAAACAAAGGTCAAGCACCCACCTACAAGCTAGTTATCAGTGATAGCTTCCTCTGTGCTTGTGGAGTATCAGGATACAAGCATCATATTGCTGTCTATTTGCTTGGTTACAAATTAATATTTTTTTCATCCTTCTTATTCAAGGAAACATAAGATCTTAGATTAATTAAACCACAGTTTTTTGAATTAATTATATCCATTCAACTAGGTGTTCAATTCAGGGGAAAAAGAACACCTTGATGATTGTCTTAACCAAAGAGGTTCTTACCTTTAGAATATGGAAACTTTTTTTTTTTTATAATTTGAAACAAGATGATCACCATATCTTTAAGAGCATTGCTTGCAAGAATGGATCCAAGCTCAATTGGAAGGCCTACCTGCCTAGCATAATCAGCTAACAAGTCATCTACTTGATTAGCTTTCTCTGGAGATATGCACAATGGAAAATTTTACACATTTTTCCAGCAAAATATGACATTCCAAAAGTATGTTGGTAATGATCTATGAGATGCTTGCCATTTTATTCAATATTGCAACAAGTTTGTAGGATTCTTTCTCATCGATAGCATCTGGAACATCATGATTAATGATTTGCGCTGGCAGCAAGAATGGAGAAAGCTCCCTAGAGGCCATGTTTTGTTAAGAAAGAAAAAGAAGGCTGAAGAAGATGAAAGAGGAAAAAATCTAAGCAGATTGAAGTCATACGAAGAATTGCATGTCTTTGCTTGAACATTTTTAGCTTAAGGCGTGCAATTTTCGCCATAGGGTCTTCTGAAACAATATTTCTCAAATTATTACTTCAAACCAACATCTTTCCAGCTTCCAACGACATGATATCCTTGTTATGCACCTGATTAGATTCATATTTCTTGGTTCTGTGTCACTTGACTACTTCAATCCTTCTGCCTGAAAGAATTTGAAATGCCAACAATAATACATTTGGTGCTAGATAAAGTTGTGTGCCGAATGCAAAACATACAGTCATGCTGCATGAACAGAAAGCAAAGGGTTTGGCTGAAAAGGAATTGACTGGAAAAAGAATTCCTCTTAAAAATGATCTTAAAGTTCAGTAAGATTCTCGAGTTCTTCAACATGTTTGATTTATGACCATGACACTCATCCGCATATCTTTCTTGTTCTTAGTCTTTACTTATCTAAAACCTTCTCTGCACGTCTGTAAAAAAACGAGCAACATCAGAACTGCATCTATTTAACAGAATTTAGCGGTCGTCGGCCTTTGCTAACCATCTTTTGTCTCTTTTTTAGCAAATTATCTGCACCTAATTTAATCACACAGTTATGGACTGATTAACCCAATGGTGATCAGATGTCATCAGCATTGTGTGTTTCATTTCAGCTCTGGCAAATGAACTGAGGTATCGACCCATCATTCACTCAAGAAATACAAATCTGAGCAAGTCATACCTGCTTGATCATCTCAGTTGATAAAAACACCAGGATTCCAGGGATCATAGGAAATCTCAGGACCTCAGAAAAGCTATTATTAGACTCCCCATATTGACCTTTATCGACCAATGCCACTGCACAGGCAGAATTAAGCAGATGGTCAGCTTATAAAACAAGAATATCACTGTTTGCAAACTAGTAATAGTGAGTAGCAGCAAATTCTGGAAAGATACTACTAGTATCCAAGTAAATATGTACATTGATACACTTCAACAGTATTTAGAGCATGTGATGATGATTCATATCAATTTTTTTGTTGTCTCCATGTATTTTCTAGGAGAAGGCAGCTTTCATATTCTGTGTCGAGGATCGAGCCCTATTTTGCCGGGACTGTGATGAACCCATTCATGTCGCTGGCACCCTTACCGGCAACCACCAGCGTTACCTGGCCACTGGAATCCGTGTGGCTGCAAATGCGATGTGCAACAAGGACTTCAATGACAATACCGAACCACCAAACCAAGGGCCAGCCACACCAGCCGCAAAAGTTCCTGAAACACCACAAACCATTTCATCATTCATGGACTCGGCATGGGCTGCTGATGAGTTCCTTCAACTTTATGACCAAGAAACTGGTTACAAGGTATGAGTTGCTGACACTTGATTGATTCGTAGAACTTCTGATTACTTCACACAAGGTAATCATACTTGGATTCAATACATTGCAGGGGTCTCCTGTAGGATATGAGGAGTTGGATTGGTTTGCAGACATTGGTCTTTTCCATGACCAACTGCCCAAGGCGACCCAAACAGCAGCTCAAGTCCCTGAACTCCCCACCACACAAGCAAGCAACACAGGCTTCTACAGAGCCAACAAATTCCCTGTTCCACAAGCTAGTGATACAGGATTCTACAGAGGCAACAAGTGTGGCACTTTGTTTAAGAAGCCTAGGCTTGAGATATCTGATGAGGAGGAGTACTTCACTGTCCCTGATCTTGGATAGTTCTTCGGTGTTGCATAAGCCTATCGTATAATACTAGTGATTTGAATGACTATATAAAGACAGAGAAAACAGAGACAGGAGAAGGACATAAATATTTCAACAATTTCTGAAGAAAATGTGGATAGATTTATGATTCAGTTGACTCCAGAACAGTATATTTTAGCTTGATTTGCATGTTTGTCTAGGAAGTGAATACATTTGGTTGCATAAGCCTATCGTATAATTCTCCTAAGTAGCTTATACTCATTCAACAGCTACTATTTTTATTCTTTGAAAAACTATCTCAAGAGACAAATCATGAGAATGATCTGTGTCTAACCCAATCGATAAAGCCACTTGCAGCAGGTGAGCAAGAAACCTCACAAGCATGATTGCAAATTTATCCCAAATTTATGGAGGATTATAATGATTGTAGACTTAATCATCAACACCCAAATTATAAAGTTGACTGATTAAATGTGACAGTATTTGCTGGTATAATATCCCATCAATGTTGCCTTCAGTCTTCTTTCAGCTTGAGTATCTTGAAAACCTAAGCATCTGTTAAACATGCACCAACAATTAGCAACTTGTGAATTAAAATGCTGCGTAAGAATAACTAAATAAGAATCAAATGAGGCTAAGAAATCACATAAAGTGAAATTTTCCAAAGTGAATCAAAATACCAAACACAGCATATTTCAATTCCTTTGAATTATGAGACAAGCTTAGAATCATCAGACAAGGGGTTAGAGACTAGCATCTAATAGAGTTCTCTTGGCTTGCTCAGAGAGTTTGATGTTAGAAAAGAATAAATAAATTCATAGAGAAGTTATATTTTAAGGCAAAAAGAATCAATTGTAAATAATTCTAAAGATGGCCTCATGCCCACCAACATCTCGCGCGGAGATTGTATCGTACCTCACCCATTCCCAACCAATCACAGCTCACCTTACATATCTCCTGGATATGATATACCTTGGTCATCTTCTCATTCCTCTCTGCCACCCTCTTCTCGCTCTTTCCCAACCATTCCTTGTCCTCTCTCTCTCTCTCTCTCTCTCTCTCTCTCTCTCTCTCTCTCCCATGGCCAGTACCTCTCTCCAGTCCCTCCATCAATCCATTCTCCGCCACCACAACCACCATCAACATTACTTCACCTCGTCTCCTGGCTCTATCTTCTTCAAACCAAGCAAATCCTACAGACTCTTCTCCAACGTCCCCTGCTCCTCCTCCCCCCCGAGCACCACCTCATCCAGTACTGTAGCACCGGCCGGCGTCTCCTCCTCCGCGCCACTCGACGCCCTCGCGAACTACCTGTCGACGAGCGACTTCCGCCAGGCGGACGAGGAGACGCGCCGCCTACTCATCGCCCTCGGTGGCGAGGCCGCACAGAAGCGCGGGTACGTGTTCTTCTCGGAGGTGCAGTTCATAGAGGCCGCCGACCTGCAGGCGATCGACCGGCTGTGGCGGCAGCACAGCGGCGGCCGCTTCGGGTACGCCGTGCAGCGGCGGGTGTGGGAGAAGTCGGGCCGTGACTTCACGCGCTTCTTTATCAGGGTGGGGTGGATGAGGCGGCTGGACACGGAGGTGGAACAGTACGGATACAGGTCCTTCCCCGGCGAGTTCATGTGGGAGTTCAAGGACGACACACCGGAGGGGCACCTCCCTCTCACCAACGCTCTCAGGGGGACTCAGCTTCTCCGCAGCATACTAACACACCCAGCCTTCGAGGAGATCATAGAGGAAGGGAGGGAGAAGAGTGAGGAAGAAGGAAGGATGGCTGTGGAAGAGAAGGGGAAGGAGCAGCCAAAGCTACTGGGTGGCAAGAGGGTCTTCGAACCCGACTATTCCTTTTGAGCTTAATTCCCTTTTGGATTTCGGTTGGTGATTCAAAAGCTGCTTAAAATTACTATGTGTTTTATCTTTTTGTGTTTTTTTTGGTTGATGTTTAGACTCTTACTATGTAAAACAAATTTGATGTTAATGTGTTGCAGCCACAATATTTATTATGTCACAGTAAAATTAGGCCATTTGTTACATATATACACCAAAGTAGTATGATCGGTGTTTTACTTCAGATTTCTTTTTCTCCTGTTTCTAGTTATTCTCCTTTAGATTCTTCACCATCATCATCATCTTCTTATTCTTCTTCAGACTGACTGATGTTAAAAAGTAAATAGAAGTTTATAAATTGATTGGAAGGCCATAAAATGATGAAACAAAAAAAAGTGTACGAGGTTGGATTGGCTATGGATTGCTACATGGCCCTGCAGGTTCCGAGTTAATTAAGTTGTTTCACACCCATTTCTCTTCTCAGGTGTACCAAAGATGGTGGAAATGCTGCAGCAGATCGAAGCACAATGTTTGATATCATCTTTTAGAATATAACATGGAAGGCTTGTAATATTATTATTATTATTATTATTATTTTACCAGAAAGCAACATTAATTTGCCTTAAATTCCACTCCAGTTGATGCCATAACATGACTTTCCACCCACAAAGACTTAAACTACAAAAAATCACCATTCTGTAGCAAAGGCATTTACCAAGAATCATAATTGATTTTGATCTTTCTCACAAATCATCTATCAACAGTCATAGGATTTGGCACTTTGGTTGTAATCCTTTGTCGTAAAATTCATCTGACTGATATTACAGAATGACAAATTATAGTACTCATGCAATCCTTTGACATAAAATTCATCAATCAATGCACAAAATGAAGTCTTTAAGTATATATTGATCATGAATGAATGAATCATTGTGTACGTATCAACTACAAAATGGTAGCACTCCAGCCTTTGAGCAAGCTCAGAGGTCCAATATTTCTGAACGTTTTTTCAAAAATAAATAAATAAATAAATAAACAGACATGAGATGTACATTGTGGCTTAATGCCAATCAGATGATAATAACTACAACAATATATTCCAACGTTAAATATGCTCAGTTGAAAAAGAATTTCCAGATCTCCCTCTCTGACGTTCTGGAAACCATGTGGACACTAAAAATGTTGTCCTCATGCACCATAGCTTTTAGTTGTCGCGCTACACCGTTAGGACCTACAAATTTTTTCTTCACAGCCAAATACGACACTCCATATGGTGGTCGCAGACACTGCACAGAAAGAATTTAGCCAGTTTTAGTCCACAATTCTTGACTACGAAACATGGATACTTCAGATTGCTTATTGAATCTGTATCGCTTGTACAATAATTCTTGAATACAAGCCAGATACTTCTTGGAAGTATATGATTTTTTTTAATTATTATTAAAAATAACAAAAACATTTAGGACCCAGTATATTTCTTGACATAATGCCCACAAGGAGGAAAAATTGACTTTCAAATTTCACATTCTACCATGCAATCACTGCAATTCTATATATTAACCAATGACTGTTGTACTGCCCATACGAAACAAAACAAGTGGTACATGTCTGACCAACCACCGGTGTGCGAACCAGCCTGTTTTGGGCAGCAGGCAGGAAGCAGGGGTGTAGGTGGTACACCCCTTGCATCGCTCTATACGGTCAATACTTGACCAGCACCAACTTGTATCGGTTGGTAACAATCGGATTCCAATCATACCGGTTCAATAGTTCAAGTCAATTGTGATCCAATGATCAATTTGACCATTGTTAGAGCTTTTGATATAAAAGCTCACTTTCTCCCTTTCTCAATTAAACATTCTAAATACTCCCTCGTTCTTACTCTTTCGCACTCTCTCAATTAAACATCCTAGTCCATGATTAGAGCTCATAAAAAACTTTAGAAGCTTCAGTTGGAAGGATTTTAATTAGAGAGATTCAAATGCATTATTTGGTGGAAGTTCTTACCAATTTAAAAGTATTTATGCTCTTTAGTTTATCTTTTGATATAATTAGATCCTCCTTATATTATGCTAAGATAGATGTATAGAGTTATTAGAAAAGATAAAAAAAAATATTTTTATTCATGAATAATTAAATATAGTTTCGATGGAGGATAAAATGATAGAGAATCGTTTAAGATGATATGGACATGTGCTTAGGAAGCTTACAGATATGGTAACCAGAGGTGGAATGATTAATATTAATGGTACGAGTTAAGATAAAGAAAGACCTAAGAAGACTTTAATAGAAACTATAAATAAAGATTTAAGTCTTTTAAACTTAACTAAACATATGATTTTTTATATATCTCAATGGCGGTAAAAAAATCTATGTAGCCGACCCCAAATAGTTAGAACTTGTGACCTTATTGTTGTTGTAGACCCTTATTAGTGTCTTATTATGAATAATTGGTTGATTAATGTATTTCTCCTAATATTAGATTCAAATAAGTCTATTATCATACTTTTAGGCTCAAATTAGGGCTAATTTTGCCTGATCACAGCTAGTTGATGGTGGGTAATTTGAGGTCATCATCTTTCCTTAGTTTAGGCACTATTAAAATCATTATCTTACTTTTAAGACCGATTTAGGGTAATTAGGCCTAATCACAGCATGTTAAGCATGATTACTATATCTCTCTTAAATCTAGGCTTAATTAGATCCATTATCTTACTTTTAGAACCAATTTATTATAACTAGGTCTAATCATCATGTAGATTCATTATCTTACTTTTAGGGTCAATTTGAAATAATTAGGCCTAAAAAACCTATAATTACTTACCAGTCATGAATCATTTGCACCTTATTCTTATTGAGATTGAATTATAATTACATTAAAATTAGAATAAAGAGGGGTTAAAAGAAGGTTTTTTTATTTTTCAGTCAGTTTTGGCTATTTTCTGGCCAATTTTCCAAAAACCGGTATGAACTGGTCCAGTCCAGGACCAGCACAGCCAGTCGGCACGAGACAATGAACCTAGATATTAACTTTCACAAGTTAGTCATTAGTGAGTCTGAAAAATGACTATGGACAACATAACATGACAGATTCTGCATAAAGAAGGCTCAAAGTCTATGGGGGGTAATTAAAGCAAGTTTTAGAGACTGTTTCACGAGTTCCAAACAAGATTATAATGATCTGGAGAGAACCGGCTAATTTTTATACATTTCTTATCATATTGGTTTACCAGGAATCTCATGCACATTTGATACCAACGAAAATTTTCAAGACTACGAAGAAAAATTCAGCTAACCTTTGTCATCAGGGCATATAGCTTCCTCAGGGAGGTTACTGAATGAGGGATCTCAGTAATCAAAATGACGTCATAGCCTCCATCTCCTGGGTCTGTCTTACTTGCCCTTTCCCAGGCACGGCTTCCAGAGAGCTTCCTTGACCGCCTGGAGCTAGTTTCCTGAGCAATCACACTTCCCTCCTGACTGCTACATGCATCAATGTAGTCATCCTCAGAGAGGCTAAGGCTAGCCCCACTTGCCAACTCGAAACCATCTACCCTCACCACAGATAGGACACTGGGAAGCTCCTCCCAGTCCCCAGCATAAAAGTGGACATCAGAAGTCAAATGCTGTCGAGATGGAGTAAGGGGACTCTCTGATTGGCGACTCTGCTTGTCCTTGGCCTGCTCAATATTTGCAAGGACATTGGGTATGGTTGTGCATCTGATGGTTTCAGCATTGAGATCGTGAAAATGAACTGTAGAAGCACCCTGTGACAAGTTTGCATGACAAATTAGACCACTACAATATGATGCAGGATGATATGAACTTGGATATGTGAATTTGAGCATCTTAGTCGTTAAAGGCATATGGATACCTTGAGGCAAGCAAAAGTCCCAGCTATCCCATAACCGCAACCAAGCTGCAGCAATTATCAACAAAAATTAGAACTATACTATTTCATCTGCAGCAAAAGAACAATCAAATATCTTGAAGTCATCTATCAACGAATAAAGTCAACAACATCTAACTTCCAAAGCATGTACATGAGAATTAAAATTATCAACATAAAAATGACATGTGGATTTTGTTAATATTGGGAATGAGATGATGTTTTAATATCATAATGTTCAACATTAGAATTAAATCATGACATGTGAAGAAGGATCATTGAAGCTTGTTAAAGCATTCTGGTATAGACTGCAACATTTTTTTCTAACTTAGTCAGCATCAAGCGGTATATAATATTTGACAAACTAATCAAAAGCTAAAGGCTGATAGATTGAGAATAAAAAGGACAGGGACTCCTAAAATGTAGGTACCTCTAAAACCCTTTTGCCTCTAAAACTCAGCAGCCCATCACGAATCTCAAGCTTGACACTGTTGACAAGATCGGTTGAGCTCTCCCAAGATTTCAGAGATCCTGCAGCATGAGAAGGTAAACCTATATGTAAATTTATATGAAAAATTTATATGAAAAATACAAAAATCTCTTAGATCTTATGTACTCACCATCAGATTTGGATGAAGCCATCTCCGAATTTGAAAACCCAATCACATCAGACAACCTAACCCTTCCCTGGGGCGTAAATAATAAAAATTAACACATAAACGTTGAAGGAAGAAGAACATAGCACACAGCAAGGTCCATTGATGGGATCACAAGTTTGCCGGATTCCTTTTGGAACAAAAGGCGATGATCCATTCAGAATCTGGTTGTCGAGGTTAAATCAGAAATTATGTAAAAATAAATAACAAATTTGGCGCATGTACCTTAAAAATTTTGAGACCTTGCAGATCAACATTTTCTCCAGCATACTTGTATGGATGAGCATTCTGTGAAACAACCATGGCAAAAAAATGAGGAATTGTACATAAACCCTATTTTGGAGGGCTTGTTCATCACAAGAACAATATACGGTCGCATATCTGTTAGACGTTAATAATTCATGCACATAGCAGAACACTTGACCAAATCGAAATTATATGATCAAAAGGAAAATCACACAAATGATGGTCTGTGCACAAACTAAACTGAGTTGATTTCTGCAAATACATCAAGCACTTGACACTTCATAAACAAAGCGACTATGCTAGAAGTTGAAATGGTAAATACCTTGGAAGGAAGAATCTCGATGGCTGGTGAGGGAAGATGCAAATCCCTTTCAGAGACCAGGGAAACATCCGCCTTCAAACTGGCCTTGTCACGAGGCACCAACGCCGGCAAGCACTGCGCAAGAAGCGACGGTGACCTCATTTGTCCTTCTATCTCTCAGTATCTGGTAATGGAACTGCCAATGCCAGAAGATGCATCAGAAATGGATCAAAGCACACGCTAAAAGTACTACTAATGAAATCATCAATTCCACAGATCAAGAAGAAAAAGGGCTAAGAATCCTACACTCTAGTTGAAATTATTCTCAAATTCGTCCGTCAACTCAAAGATAGGATCTTTCAAGCTCCGAGAACATTAACAGCAAAACCCAATCCCGAGAAGAACAGGATCAAGAAAACGATACCTTGATGGGTAGAAGCCGTCAGGTGGAAGCGGGGATCGGAACACCTTGGGACCGTCAATTAAAGCCGCGGACGCGAGAGATGGCGGCAGCTTCAGCGAAGAATCCGACCCCTGCCTCAATTCGTCCCACCAAGTCCGCCAGCGGACCGACATCGAAGTCAAAAGAGCACAACTTTCCTTTACGGAGATCGGGCGACAAAAGGAGAGAAGGTTCGGACGCACAGTCGGCCAAGTCTTTGACCGCGGAGGGATCCTTTTCGTTATTCCGAGAATACCCCTATACCACGAAAGATACGTCTTGGACAAGCACGGCGAAGGGTGCGAGGTTGGTAAACAACGTGACTTCACGTGTGCCATGCTACCCGAACGGGTTACCTTTCTTTGTTGTCGGTTGGACGTACGTTTCAGGGCGGGGATAGTCTGTGGGTCCCATATACTTTCTCTCTAGGTGTAAAACCAGGGAAAGTTGGATTTGTCCTACCACGTGTCACGATGATTCTAATTGGGATCAATAGCTTTGTGAACAATATTCTTTTTTTTTTCTTTCCAAGTAATGCCTGCCATAAACAAAACATGGATAGTTGAAGGATAGAAGAATAATGGATTGATGTCCCTAATAGATAGCTTTTGAGAACATATTTGAAATATGTATTATAAATTTAATATATATGTTAAATAAAAATTAATATTTAATATTTAATATTTAAAATTATAATTGATTTTAATGTTATATTGTAAATATTAAGTGCTGGGAATATCAAATTCTTAAAGTACCTTATGATGTCATCTTGAATCACAAAGTTATCAACATGATATTATAGTAAGAAACCAATATCATCTATATTTTTTAAAAGTTAAATTTTTTTTATTTATTTTTCAAAATTATTTTATATTTATTTATATGATTATATTATTTATTTATTTATTATATATCTAGGTAATTTAAATTTTTTTGTAAGATAATATACATTCATTCATTCAATTATGTACTTTATTTATTTACTTATTAATTTAAATAAAATATTTATTTATTTTTGAATAAATATTAAAATTATCAGAAGAATAAATTTATCATATATTGTTCAATGAAGTTTTGAAATATAATTTAACTAAACAATAATTACATCAATGTATATTTAAAATACTCAAGATATCGATAATTACACACTTATTCAAATCTTTTTCTCTAAATACATATTAAAAATATAAATATATTCCAAATACAATTTAATTGATACATTCTTCCAAACATAGGGCATAATAGTCATTTCATGTGATCAAATTGAACACGTTGTGATGAGGACAAATTATTCTCGGATACAATTTTTCCCCACGCTGGTCAAAATGTTCTCTTCCACGCATCCACTAATGGTTCCATAGTCAACACCCAATCCCATAAATCTTAGGACATTCCTTCGCCCTAAAGATTGCAATAGATTTTGGCAAAAAAGTCTCCATAGTAGACATTCTCTCAAATTCCAAAAGTCCACACCAACCATTGGGAAAAAACAAGCCTTGAGTCATTTCTTCGACCTACAAAGGTTATGATTAGATTAAGAACATTAAAATAAATTCATCAATTTTTAGCCTATGTTTTATATATACATACATATATATACATATATATATATATATATATACATGTACATATATATACATATACATATATATATACACTCATATTTTACCGATTTCTTAAGAAAATAATCATATTTTATGTTTTTCTCAAAATAACCCTTAAAAGTTTTCTCATCAATATTTTTGCTCTTTTTTTTTTAACCATTACATTGTTTTCATTTGGCTAGTTTATAATATTTTTCTAATAATATTTATAATATTTTATTGATGTATTGAAAATACTATAAACATTATTAAAGAATTGTAAGTGATATCATATTGTTTTTTTTTTATTTTCATTGCTCATGGACTATTACAATATCATATTTTTTAATTTTGTAGTTAGTCTAGTTAAGGTTATAAATCTATTTATATTATATACAATATTTTCAAAAAGGTTTTACAGTATTTTTACAGTCAAAACACTATAAAAGGCCAAAACCATCATAGCAAACCAAAACACTAAAATATTTGGAAGATAGTTTGAGTTTTTTTTTTTTTTGTGTGTGTGTGTGTGTATATATATATATATAGTGAAGTTGTTTGACTTTGGACAACGTTAGGTCAAAATCACTAATGTATTTTTGAATTGCAATGAACTTAAATGTATTTTTTATTTATAACAAGAAAGAAATATTCATATGACAACATTAGCAATAATTGACTCATGGCGTATCCCAAATTCAAAATCCAAAGTTCTCAAACAATTCAAACATTATAAAGTGAGTTTTAATTAAACAAGGAGAATATTTAAATGATGAGAAACTCGAGATTAATGAGTCAAACAACGCCACCAAAGTGACATGTTTCGATCATCTACTTCCAAAGAGAACAACAGGTGGAGTTGTTTGACTTTGAACAGCTTTATGTCAAAATCACTACAAATTGTAATGCTCAGCTCTTCCATTATTCAAAACTGGCAGGAATAATCGGAGGAACTAAATCAGAAGAATTTGTCAAACTATGTTGTCATCCAACACATCAAGGAGTTGGTGACAACATAATTAACTAAAATGATGTTAGAACATTAGTTAGAATAATGTTTATATTGTATATATATGAGCATCCCAATGCAAACTTTACATGAAAAATACAGGGAAAGTAAATGCAAAAATAAATAATTTTCAATTGTATCTATATACGTGGTCCATTATTTTATGTTTTATTAGGAAGAAAAACTTGTATCCAAGATTTCTGTATTTATCCTCTAAATTTAAGTATTTCATGTACATTCTTACGAATATCATTGTGACGAATCCCAATCTTTTAAGTTAACAAGGATGGAGTTTTCTTGAATAGATGTTAAAGGGTGGGATATATGTATATATATATATTAAATCAAACTTCAAATGTAAAATATGCCATTTAGGAACTCTGAAAGGATAGATATGTAGAAACCAATGAGTAGGTCAGTCAAACTCCATGATCACATCAAGACATAATAAACCCATCTCACCCCAGAGATGGGTGACATGAGAAGAGATGTGAATTCGATTTGAGGGAGAGTAGTTGAAAGCTTGGAAAATTAGTCCACAAGAACATTGGAGAAGACCACCTAACAAGATGGTGGATGATGATGGTTGACCTTCTTGTAGAATCTGACGTACGTTATATGTGGAACATATTTAGATTAGTCAAACTAACCCCCCACTTGTAGAAGGGATAAAAAATTAATACTCGTATTTCGTGCTGATGATGAATCCCGTGATGCGATCGCTCATCATATAATTTGCCCGAGAGTTTGAAAGTGCACTTTTATGTGCCAACGTTGTTTTCACATCTTTCACCATATTGCATAATTTGTTATCGAAAGCTACTAAGCTTGTTGGTTATCACATATGGGGAGGTCAAATCCACTTATGATGTGTATATGAACTTATACCAACACATATCTACTGATCGATTTTAGCAGGAGAGGTCAAAAACTCTTTTAATTTTGTTAAACCATTCCAAAAACCTTATATATATATATATATATATATATATATATATATATATATATATATATATATATATATATATATATATTGTTGATAATTGATCAGGAAAATATTTATTTTTTTGTGTATTTCCCGAGCAAGTATTCCCAATTTTGTTATTCCTGGTCCATGACCTCCTTTTCGAAAATATTAGAATTGCCATTCAAAAAGCTACAGCAAATGTTTCCCATCGATTTTGGGAATCGACCGAAGGACCGTCGATCAGTTCATATGAGTGGATCGGTGGGTTTGATCCGATGTTAGTGATTTTGATAAAATGATATCAATTCATATGCAGTTGAGGAAATCTCTCTATTATCAAGTTTAGCCTCAAAGAATTCAACTTTCTTCTATTCCATCTTTTCCTTTATAAAAAAAAGATCATCAACCAAAGCAACTCTTGCACTCCTCTCTTGTTTGGAACACAAAGCAACACATGTGTTCATAGTTTTGTGGGTTTTTAAACCCTCCCATCTAAGAGACTTTTATTGTCACAGATGCAAGTAATATTCATTCTACTTTAGCTTTTTCATCAAATTATCTCCTTTTTCTTTTAAAGATCGTTAAAAATTGTGTATGTCTAATGACTTTCAAGTTTTTACAGTGTTTTTGTGTTTAGTTTGCAATTTTTCTGAACAAAAGAAGAATTCGATAAAGTTTAATTTTAAAAAGATTCTCATTCATTTATTTTGGAAGCATATTTTATATAATCAACAACAGTAGAATACACTAATCATAACTTCTTAATGCATGAACTGGAATGAAAGTAAGTGTAGACACTCATGAACTGTAATTGTTTACATGTTATCATGAACAGAAGTAAAATTTTTACAGTGTTTTTTTTATATTTGTGTTATAGTGTTTTTATAAAAACAAATCAAAATACTTTTAAATGCTTTATAAAAACATTATAACCATATACTTGAATCACATTGTTAGAATCTAGGATGCAAATGATGTCCTATTATGTGATCCTTATAGTGTTTTAGAAATAAAAATACTTTAAACACTATAACAAAATATTTTTATCATTTTTTTAATGCATGATGCAAATAATATCCTAGTACAATTGTGTGTATGGAATGCAATGTAATGAATGTACAAATTACAAAAAAATATTACTTGCATAATATTTTTATATGAATTTTATTGTGTTTAAGAAATTCGAATCAAAACACTATAAATACTTCATAAAAATACTATAACGAAATATGTTTATTATTTTTCTTGGAATACATGATGCAAATGATGTCATAGTACAACTGTGTACATAGAATTTAGTGTAACGAATATAAGAATTATTGATAATATTATATATATATATATATATAGTATTTTTTATGAGCTTTCTGGACATTTGGAGGTTATATTAGGAGTCTTAGGATTAATGCAAGATCTATGACAAATATATATTTTTTAACAGAGATGACAAGAAAAAAAATCGTAAAAATAGTTCGAGTTATTTTGAGAAGCATATAAAGAAATCAAAAGAAAAGAGTAGGTTTTTTTGGAGTTTTACCTCATATAAATTTGAAGTCTAGACATTCTCACAGTTATAGTGAACATTGATAATAAAACATATTTGTGTGGTTGATTTTAGCTATTTGGAACCCCATGCTCCATATTTGTTTTATGCGATCATTAGCTATAAAAAGTTTGAATCCATATTTGTTTTATGATTTTTTTTTCGACAAACACATACGAGAAAAAATATGTGAAAAATATATTTCCGACATGAAGCAAACAAAATTAGATTCGACATGAAGACGAAGAAGAAGAAAGGCTAAGGATGATTCTAGGCCGCAATGGTTGTTCGTGTAGATTGCCGCCAACTTAAGCAATTGTCGTATGCAAATTTTTAGACATCAGTGTTGATTTACTAAAATACTAGCATTTTTGAGTTGTATTGTAGTATTTTAATGTGATTGACATTTAACAAAACACTATATTACATATACTATAAAACATTGTAAAACCTTACTTACTGTGAAACACACATTTAATAAAACACTATTATCATATTACTAAAGTACTGTAAAACCTTAAGTGTGCAAAAAGAGATATTTAACAAAACACTATATGACATTTCTAAAACACTCACTGTAAAACCTTATTGTGTAAAACAGACATTTAACAAATCACTATAAAATTTTACTGTATATAATGGACATTGAACAAAAATACTGTATCATTTATACCAAACTTTTACTTTGTAGAATAGACATTTAACAAAACACTAACTATATCACATTACTAAAATATTGTAAAACTTTACTGTATAAAATAGATATTTAACAAAACACTGTATACTATAAAATCTTATTGTGTTGAATGGACATTTAACAAAATACTGTAAAACTTTATTGTGTATAATAGACATTGAATAAAATATTATATCACATATACTAAAATACTATGAAACCTTACTGTGCAAAATAGAAATTTTAATAAAACACTATATCACATTACTAAAACACTGTTTTGCGTAAAACAGATATTTAACAAAAACATTATTGTATCACATTACTAAACCAGTGTAAAATCTTACTGTGTAAAATAACCATTCAAGAAAGAAAACACTATATAAAATACAGAAAAACACTATAAAATTTTACTGTTTAAAATAAATATTAACAAAAATACAATAAACACTATATCACGTCAAAAACACAAAAGACAACTATATCACTGACAGTTTAACCATATCAATATTTTTCTTTTTTTGGACAATATTAACATTGATTTTTTTTATGCCAATAGTTTGGATAAGGACGAGAGAAATAGGTGTTTGCTGCACTCATAATCAATAATTGATTGTACAATGTCCAGTCGATACCGATACATGTTTTGCTTGTCGCATATCTAAAGATAGACCATAGATCAGTGCATCAATGAACTTCATAACAAAAAATAACACCATAATTATTACCGTCAAACAAAGCCAGAGAGCATGCAAGTGATATGAAACATACAACTACATTTTAAACAAAACCCATGAAGACTCACGATGCATATTACTTGAGACATTTCATCTCTTTTATTTTTCATTCGACAAATGAATAATGTGTGGCGACATACTTGTTGAGACATCTTAGTTGATTAGTAGTTATATCTATGATAATTTTCTTCTATTAGTAATGTGTTGCGATGTATTTTTTGAAATATTATAATTTCACTTAGGACACATGAAAAGTTCACTTACCGCTTTCTTGAATACAGTCTAGTATTTCTTGACAATTCAAGGTGCCAGTGATAATGTGTGTTAAGGGGCACAAACATCAAATTGATTAGTCCATCATAATTAATTTTATAGCTTAGGTTGAATATCCAAGTCCCTACTTACTGATAATACTCTTGCATTAAAATATAGTAATCAAATTAATTAAATAATATTAAAAATATATAATAACCTTACTAATAGTAATAGGATATTACCTAAAAATTAGTGTCCATAATAATACTCGAAACAATTGATGCGTTGGACTTAGTAGCAGCCTTCGATATTAGGATGGTAGAATTTCTTAATTACGCCTCTAAGATGTCTAAATGAAAGATAGATCTTCTTGTCATCCTAAATATAATAACTAGAAATACTATTAATTTATAAATAAGATAGCATATTCCATGAATCAATTAACTACTCACTCACGATGAATAGAAACAATGAAACATTTGTTGATAAATAAAATTTAAGCTAAAATTGATAATAATGTCATTGAACATGTAATCGATAAGAACTCAAACTCTATAGATAAAACTCATGATAAATACTTCAAATTGAATATTATCATCATGCCTTCCTCCTTGTCATACGTACGAAGAAAGACATCAATTAATAAGCTACAAATATAATATTATCACCGAATCAAATACATATGCCGCTATAAGTGAGCCACAATCGATCTTCATCCATTTGCTCAATTTATTCAATTACATCACTTATTGTTGTTAATTTATCTCCCTCCCACAATATTGCAGAATATCTAAGTCGGTCTTTTTCTTTTGAACTCCAAATAATCTGTATTGTCTGAATACCAACTTGCATGAGCTACCTGGTTTATTACAGAGTTTTAATTGTTCTCTCTCTCTCTCTCTCTCTCTCTCTCTCTCTCTCTCTCTCTCTCTCTCTGATAGTTGGACTTCATACCTTTCGACATAGCTTTGAGCTTTTTAACATTTAAACTCAATCGGACACTTTACAGACCAAATTCGATGTCAATCTGTCCCCTCTAGACACGTTATATTTGTATAACTTAGTAATGGTAAGTTTGACTCTCTTAAAAGTGCAGTTTATATTTGCATTGGGACCTTTTACACGCCTAAGATGTGCACATCTTTAATCTTCTTATGCGCGGGCAGGCTTTCCAGCAGTTCACCGGAATAAAAATACAGCTATGTATTGCAGCCCTACGATAGATAGTCCAGATGGCTGGTTTCTGTGGCAGGCGCCGATTAGCACTCACCAGTTTGACAGGCATCGATCGTTGTTTCACTTCTCAGACTCTCCAGGGTATTATTCTTTTTGCAGTCATCTTGGCTGCAATCCCTTCATGTCCCTTGTGGCACCGGCTTAGGATGGATTGCTATTTTCCATTGGTTTCTTCTCTTCAGGAACGAGTCCTATTCCATGGGCAGTGAACTCGGAGATATATCCTGAGGCCTATCGTGGCATTTATGGAGGCATGTTCCGCCTGCCTCCATAAATTGTTTCGTTAAACATTCCTCTCGATCGTTGCAGTTTGTGGGGACAGCGGGAACCTTCTTCGTTATCGTCGGCGGCGTGGCTGTGGTGGCAATTGTTTTCGTAATAGCTAGCCTACTAGTCTAAGAAGGCTTGAGCTTGGCATGTTGTGCTTTTAAATGTACTTTTCATTACCTACTTAGAATAACAACACTATTGTCGAAGATTACAATAGCACCTATACCTTCACCCAATAGCAAACCGAGGGTGAGCTTCAAAATACATTTAAAATATGTATTGGGGCCCAATATTGCTCAAATATAAATTAGTATTTTGTTTTTTTGTTTTTTTTAATCTGAAACTACTCAAATACTAAATACTAGTATTATTAGCATTTCAACATTTGTAGGATGTTAGTTTTTTTTTTTTTTATTTGAAAGTATCTTATGATTTTATTTAAAATTATAATATTGTCAAAATAATTTAGTAAGATTTATAATCTCTATAAGATGAATTTTTATTTATTTTAAAAAAAAAATTATATTTTTTTATATGCTTATATTTTTATTTATTATATATTTGAACCATACAATTTTTTTTATCAAATTACATTTATTTATTTATTATTTATTTTATTTATTTAAATAAAAAAATATATTAAAAATATTAGAAGAATAAATTTATCACAATATTGAATTAATTTTTGTGATATAATTTTACTAAACAACACTACCTCAAAACATATTTAAAAAAATAATATTCATCTATTTTTATCCAACGATCAAAGTTTTTCACAACTATACATTCACTGAGCTTTTTCATCCAACTACATAATAAAAATACAAACATGATCCAAACCTAAGTTTTAGGTAGCATTGTTGCTTGAAATGTTTCCTTTACCATAATCTGCTGCTGTACTTCCATGACATAATAGATTCCACAACACCACCCGGATCAGCAGATTTGGGTATAAATGGAGAACAGGATGCACAAATGAGATCTCCAACGGCATCCCGTAACAATGCTTGCATACAATAAAAACAAAAAACACCGCTTAGCATATGAAGAGCATAGACCACACAAATCAAATCGAATTGAATGAGCATAACCAATGCTGATAATATTATCGGATACCAAACCACCATCGCATTGTTTTTCACTTTTCGGTATCAAGCAAGGAGAAGAGTTTGGTCATTATTTGGTACATCTGCCTCTTTGATGATAAATGACATAAGTGTTGAAGTACCGCACAAGATTACATTTTTGTAGCACAGCATTCACATTATCAGCATACACAGACTTATATCGTCGTCAATGTTTGCTTACTGAACTGAAAATTATTACTGCAGATATTTGAACTCAAATGTACCATACAAGAAGTGAAAGCACATCTTCACATATTATGCCATGAGGAGTGATTAGTTCTTCCAAGATATCCAGGATCTTGAGGATGCAGCATTATTCAGCAGGGCATATGTCTTCCAAACTGCGAAAAAGAAGTTAGTAAAGCTGAAATTTCAAACACTTTTTCTTGGTAAAACTACTTTGTAAGTGACAGCGGTACCTCTTCCCCAAGTACTCAATAATATCTGTAGTAAGTGTTGCTCGTTTCTTGTTTTGGAACGCAAGAGCAGCAGCTCTTCTAAGCAGTGCAGAACCAGCAATGCACCCGAGGACCATTGGATTTGACAAACTTGAAATTTTCAAAACAGTTAGAAGTGAATTTTATTAAAAGAATAATGATCTCATCCAACAAAATGTATATAGTCAGACTGTCAAACCTCTTTCCAGTGGCTTCTTTTGTAGACAATAAATGCCGGCGTGCCCATGATGAAAATACTGCAACACTAGTATCACATGAAAATTATGCAAAAGTGAAAGCTTTAGTTTGCAAAACAGTGTTGCAGCCGTGAAACATAGCACATAGATTATGTACACTCTATACGACTTATATATATACCAATACACACTGGGTCTGTAATGTGCTCAAATGTGTCTATCAAATTGGGAGCACTTGACTGTGTACCAGAATTTAGAAACATCAAAACTAGAGTATAATATGTTTTCTAGAGTCAAGATCTTAAAGTTGCATGTAGTTACATGCTTATATCTGCTGGCAAAGAAATGCTACTTTACAACTGATAAGGCCATTTAGTCTCACTTATCAACAACCCTTTCATATAATCTGTTTTCAAGGTAAATTCATCACTGCGGTAAATGCATTTTAGTTTTTTTCAAAGAAAAGAAAAAAATTAAACCTTACAGAAACAAATGGCCTAGGGTTGTATAACTTGAAGAAATGCAACAGATTTAAATGCAAAAACGTGATTGGCAAAATACTACAAAGCTTATCTGACATCCTAAATCACAACAAACCTGCCAGAAAGGATGTCACCTTGACCACCACAACGTCGAGGTGAGCCAAATGTGCTCACACTTGTGACTGTAAGACATAAACCATCAGAAAGAACTACAGCTAATTATATAATGACTATGATACCTAAAATTCAAAAAAGATAGTAATATGTACTGCATTTAGCTAAGACCTGCTTCACCATCACTAATAAAATCTGACTTCCCTTTACGAAGAATAGTAACACCATCAATCCTGAGAGGACAAAAAGCTATGTTTAGCCTTCTTGTGAATCACAAGAGAAACAGAAAAGAGAAATTCAAAAGATGATTACCGCCTGGCAAGCAATTGTAATTGGTTGGTACCATCTTCATCATTAACTTCACAATCCAAAGCCTTCTCGACAAGGCGTTTATACTCATTGATATTTGGTGTTAGGACAGCTAATGGGTTTCCACGAACTAAGTCAAGGTTGTTAGTGACAAGAAAGAGACCATCCTGCAAATCATATCAACGTTATCTCTTATGAATTAATCCATGTGCTTCTGATTTAGAGAATAACAATTGAGATAAGATGCATGTTTTATAATGCAGAAAACACATACCCCATCAATGACTATTGGAATGCTTGATTGCCTTGCATGCCTCATGATGTCACTCACGCAACCCTGGCATACCGTACAAGCTTTATTTTGACCATGGGAAGATTACATGGTTTGTTGAATCTGTTCTCAACATTTGGATTTATAATAGGATATGCATATTCATCAAACCACATTCCACTAAGGATGCAGATTTTCTCTTTGTTATTGAGTCATTCTAACTCTTGATGTTTTCCCAACAAATCATTTCCAATTGTCATTAGAAAGAGGATAGATTATCGAAAGAGCTTTAGAAAGTTCTGCTATATACACACACACTAAATTCCCATGTATACTGCAGCTAGCAAAATGTTGGTCCCCCTTGATAGTGTGAAATAGTCAGAAAAATCATACAATATTGCACTGCACCAAGTTGTAGCCATCGCTTAATCACATAATGATTGTCACTGAATGAAATATGTTCCTATCATGAGAATTCATCCATGCCTTGTGAATGACAGGGAATCTGGACAAAGGGTGTCAATTCACAATAAGGTCATATTGATTGCAATGGATTAACTGTTGCAATGGATTAACATATAAAAAGAGTTTAAAATAGATTAACTGTTGCAATGGATCAAACAGATGTCTGAATAGTAGATTCAACTTTCATGTGGTTTTAGGAGCACCTCAGATTTAGCAGCAGAAATAGTATTTCCTGAGCTAATATTACCTTTCTAATTTCCACTGTTTCCTATAATCTTCACGTACAGTAGGTTTCTCAGAAGAAGGTACCTTAGTGAACCCATTCCGCACCCATACTTTCTTCATGTAATTTAATTTTAAGAAAGGTGTGTTGTAATAAACATACAACACTTTTTTGAAACTAGATGGCGAAGGCAAGAATTGGAGAAATGATATGGGAAAACAAATCACAAAGATAGAAATAGGACAACCTCATAAAAGTCAATGGTTGTGAGAATAACTTCTCAAGCTAGCAGCATACCATAAGAAATTGATCTCTTCCTAGTCCCGGACCAACAACAATACAGTCAAATCTTTCCATCCACTTTCCAACTTCAGAAAGAACCTTAGCAGAAACAGAGTCTCTCTCGTCGTCCCTAAGAAACCAAAGTGTATATCAACCCTTGTTGTACAAGGCCCCCAAAGAGACTTTCCTAAGAAAGGATTACCTTACACTGTAAGATTCTTCTAAAACTGGATGCACAATCAACTCCGGGCTATAGCTCTTTATCACTGTTGCTGCATCTTTTGTACAAAAAACATGTGATAAGTCTGCCCCCTGCATGGTACATGCCAACCAATTTATATTTATGATGCTATATGAAATTAGAAGCAACAATGAACACGGAACAAAGTTCGACATACTTAATATATGAACTGACTATATGAGAGTGATGGTACTCACGAGTTTTAGAGCTGATATAGCAGCAAAATATGGAGCCCCTGTGTACTCACGACATCCACCAATTACTGCAATCTTTCCTGGAAAAAAAGAAGAAAAGATGGTTAGGGTGAAAATAACTCTTTGACAATGACATTGATCTCATCGCACTCAAAGTACAAGAAGGTCATGGTAGTTTTTGTCAATGAGTTGAGTTCAGCAAGATTTTGCCAAAAAAAAAAAATCCAAATTTCAGCAAAATATTTTGTTATACTACAAAAAAGAATAGTTGCTTCAAGGATACGTCTTTGAATTTATGCGAATCTAAATGAGAATATAACATAATATTCAGGATTAATCCTCAAAGCGAATCAATTGGAAGTCAAATCTTATCTTCAATTTGTGCAAAACAAATGATTTATTAAAAAAAATTGCAAGTAACTTGAGATCCATTTAATATGAACTTAGTTTCGATACAGTAACACTGAAATGAAGGCAAAGCTATCAAACTACAAGGACATAAGCTATTCATGTTCACGAGAAACCAGCACACTATCTAGTTGCTAGATTATAAAGTTTGTTAATCCAAAGGTATCAAGCTTTATTTGATTCATTCATGCTCTAGCATAATTTTCTTGATATCATCCTTAACAAGCTGGATTTAAAGAAACCAAACTTGGAGTCAGGAATTGCTGTACAGGCTAAAAATTGTCAACAAGGCATGACTATTGATCAATCAGGTTAACCAAACGATGAGGGAATTCATGGTTTCTTTTACAGATTGTAGGATGCCATGTCAGCTTTTGCATCAAGTAATGGGAAGAAATGACTTCTTTTGAATTTAGGAAGTGTGAGGTAGAAAACAGTTATGCTATGAAGTTATAGTTGAAAAGATATAAGTATATGAAACATTTTCAAAAAAACTCCTGTTTTGCATAACTGGGTATTTTTCATTCATTTTTAATTTTTAGGCATTAAAAGTTATATCAGCATGACATATGTAGCAAGGTCAATAACTTTAAAAGAGTAAACAAGCAGCAGCTGCAGGGGTTTCAGTATGTATAGGTAAATTCTAGATTGAAATTCTTAGTTTGTGAACAAGCTCAATGAATAAGGAGAGAAATCAGGAGAGAATCAAGAGAGAAATAATAAAAAGGAAGAGAGGTTGAAGAAGAGGTTTTGGAAGCAACTATAAAGATGATAATATTCATAACTTCAATTTGATTTGATCTTCAGGGCTGATAATAGTCATCATTCACTTATCCATTTCTTCTATCCCCAATAAGACTTAAGAACCTTCTACAATACAACACAGATGGAAACTTAATTCTGAATCACCACAAGTTGACTAGACATTACTTTTTAACAAACTTCAGGTTTTTTTTCCACATACCTTCCTTTGGTAGCTCATGAGATGACTTTTCTTGTTAATGTGATGCAGAATAACCTATGTTCTCCTTCTCTCTCAATTAACAGTGAAAATATAACCTTTTTTTATAAGAACTCTAATATGCTACAGTGATGGAAAATGTAAATAACCTCATAGATGCATAATGGTAAAGTTAACTACCACCAACACAATGACAAAACTAAATTGCTACCAATTTTACAAGCATGAAAATGTTCACCTGCTTGGCCTTTATAACGAATGGGGTCTAGCGCTGGTGTTACCCTCCGAATAATGCTCTCAGCATCAGCCTCTGATGCCTCGACATTAGCGCCTTGTATCCCTCGCATTCTATGTGAATGTATCCGACAACAGTATCCACCCAAAGACCTTATCAAGAAAAGCTGCCTCCTTACCACAGCTGACGATGCCCACATGCAATACTCTGGACAACCAGAGGAAGCGATGGAACCACTCATATCATGTCTTGATCACACATCAAGCATCTGTGTCCCGGGTAAAAATCAATCATAAAAAAGAAGGAAAACCAGGAATTACCGCTAGCAAATGTACTTTTCTCAACTAATTCATACATGGCAATCAGAAAGCCCGAATTTTCGATTCGAATATGATTCTACATATCAAAGTGAAAAAAATATTGGCGCAGATCAAGCTAAACCTAAGAACAGATCCAAGGGAAGAATTAAACGTTGGACCGACAGGGATACTGAAAGCATTGATGAGATTATCCATGCTTACCTCGTCGTCGACCAAACACCCAACCAATTCCGTTCCTTCGATTAACAAATCTCGAGTCGATGCAAGAAAGAGAAACGGATAGAAATGGCGACACTTGGGGACAACAAACGGGGAGCGGAGGTCGAGACTCCATAGAGAACGAGAAACGGATGTACGGGAAACGACACACGAGTCGAGCAACAGAGAGTGTCGCTTCCTCCTATGTCGGGCCGGGCCAATATTGGCTTTGGTCCAACGGCCTACAACCAATGACCGGGTCCCGCCTGGGGACTAAACAAGGCTTTCCATTGGCCCATAAGAACCGGTTCGGTTCATCTTGTGGCCAAGGACGAGGGCATTATGGTCAGTTGACGCAGATCGATAAAGAAACAGGGGACAAAAGCCACCGTCGCGTTCCCAAGTCTCACGTTGTCCACCCAGCCTTCAGCCGCCGTCGCCGGCGCTAACCCACTCGCTTCAGTGCCACCCCCGCGGCTCCACGGTCAAGTCCTGCCTCTTACCGCGGGCCAGTCGCTGCCCTCTTTGCCTACGAGTCGTCGATCAGGGTTAGCAAATCTAATAAGCTTCTTGTTTAGGTTACCACCATTATTATGTATTGAAATTTCAATCGTTTTAAAATTCAGTTCTTTTGTCGGATGATCTTATTTTGGTCAATTTGCTGTGAAAAATTAAAGCGCAATGGATAATCTGCCGTTGGTAGTTGACTAAAAAGCCATCTCCTTTTACTAAACGGACGCATTTACATTATCTACTGATTAACCTCCATCAATGGTCGCTAGTAGCTCATGTATGTATGTATGTACATACATGTTGCTTGAGCTACTAGCGACCATTGATGAAGGTTAATCAGTAGACTTAATGTATTATTGTGTGTTGCCCAAATCAGTTGATATGTAATTTGGGGCATATTTACTTCATAATATTTTGGGACATGGCATATATGATTTTGCACTTGTCATACATTCTTGAGGGGAACTTTTAATGCTCAAGTTTCATTTATACAGACCTCGATGTTGCATATTAAAAAGTGATGGTGGAACACTCGGATGACATATTGACAATCTCAGCATGATCTCGTGGGCTAAAGTTCCTAGAAGTAAAGTTACATTATTTTTATAAATTTTTCATGGTGCATCCTCTCGGAACAAAATGGAGGATGTGGAAAAAATAGAAAAATAATCTGCAGAAATTTATCTTAAATCATATAATTTGCATATTAAATTTATTAATATTTGTATTAATATTGTCAAGAATCATGTTTTAGAATATTTCATCTTATTTGGATGGTTTTTGGACCATAAATCTAGTCAATATCTTGGATCATGTTACTGGATTTGTTAATTTAGGTATTCATGATGAATGAGTAATAGATCATAGAAAAATTGAATTTTTGTTCTTCAGCAATTTTGGTGCTTCATATCTTAATATTTTTTATTTCCTTTTTATTGGCTCCATCACTGACTTTGAATTGGAACTGAGGTCCAGTCAATAGCTAATATAGTTCTAATAATTTTGCATCGTGTTGGGGGCCAAAGTACGTAGACTTCTGGATAAATTGCTGTCGAATCAGATATATATAAAGTGAACAACTCAATTCTAGCGAATTGAATTGGAGAAGTCCTTTCTCGAGACTTCTTTAGCCAAGTTAAGAACCAAGAGGGTTTATACTTCCTCATCAACTTCTTGTAGTAGGCTTTTCTATTTTTTTATTTCTGTCTGATTTTCGTTACTAATTTAGTCTATAATTTAATTGGACAAAAGAGTTATATTTTAAGCCTAATTAATATCATGCAGTCCCAGTATAAGCGATCGTATACAGTTAGGAAATTTATTTTATTTTAGTTTGAGAGGTACAGTAACAAGATTAACTTATCTTTCACAACTGCCATATATATGAATCCTAAGGCTTGTACTTGGTTAGCATTTTAATTTCTATACCATAAATTTATCTTTATTAGTATTTTAGTTCTCTAATTGATAATTCAGGCTTGTACTTGTTGGAGGCATCAACATTTATCATGCCACTATGTCTACAATGTACAAATTGGAAGTGAAATGGTACAAGATTCTAGTTTCTTCCCTCTCTTTGAGGACAAAGGTCCAAATCCATGTCCTCTATAAGTTATAATGCCCTAGCTAATTATCCAATGTATTCATGGGTACGATGATGACTAAATGGGTTGACATTCCTCATAACACACATTCATGATAACGAAAAAGTTATCTACAATAATTCATACAATTTATAGTTATTTTATTATAGCCTCAAAATTGTTCCCAATTCTGTCAGTAGCACAATGAATGTGATTTAAAATGTTGAGTTTTGTTGGAACTCAAATTACTTTGTAACAGACAGATTTGGACATCATATATAGCAGAAAAGGGAGATTAAGGAGACTGGTCCTTGTGGGCCGGTGGCTTCAGCAGTATGCGTGGATCCTCTTTATTTTTGGATTGGTATAAGGCTTCAGGGCGTATCAAATATGTGCGAGTACAATATGTATAATTATCGTACAAAAAGCTTCCATGCTGCTACTCCTTTCATGGGTTCCATAGATGATGTTCTTCTAGGACTTGATTAGTTTTTTTTCTCCACATTAGTGATCTGCCCATGAAGCAACTGGAATATTTGAACATATATTTCAAGTGGATGTATAGAGGAAGTTGTTTAAGGACAGGGAAAATGTTTCATCTTTTATATTGTTAGGAACTCAGGACACTCTTCCATAATAATCTTATTAGTGCTGCTTCACATATAGCTAGTGAGTTTTGCATGCTCTAGTGCGTATCTTTAGCGTTTAAGTTGCTTGTTTTCTCTTGATCCATAGTGTAAAAAATGGCATGCGGTGGAGCTGTTGTCCAAGTGCCCAACCTTGGCTTTGGTTCACAAAAAAAGTTCTACCTTCAGAGATACAAAATGACACAGAAGTATTCACCCAGATACCGAAGTATTCGAGCAGTACAGGAAAATGAGGGCCCACGAAGACTAATTGACATCATTCGCCTCATCCCAGATGCCTCAAGGAATTACTTCAGAAGCCGTCCTCGCAGAGCACTTTTTGGTGGTATCTCATTGTTGGGTGGCTTTTATGTTGCACAAACAATTTCTCTGTCATTTGGTGCTTTGGGTGTGAATGATGTAATTGCTGCAGTGGTATGTGTTCTTCTTACTGAGTATGTGACCAGATTTTACTACAGTCGGCCCAAAGTAACCTTTCCTATTGCGCTACTAAACAATTTCAAGATGGGATTCACATATGGGCTTTTCATTGATGCTTTCAAGCTTGCTAGTTAAGATGGAATTCCCAAATAGAAGCCTAATTCTCATTCATTCAGTATGTAAGCCTTGCTTAATGTTAAAAGGTTTCGATTCAGTATGGAGCTTGGAAGTGCAGAAGGATGTAGGCAGCTAGTGTTGCTTCTATTTCATGGCTATTGTATATGCAATGGGCATTCTCATATATTTATACATATCTGGTTCCTTGTCTTGGAAATTATTTTGTGCATCAGTTCATGTGGTGTTTTGTTAGGATTATTTTGCTGCATGCTTGTCAAACCAATTATTCCGATTAATAAATCTAAAAAATAATATATTATCAAAAATTAGAGGGAAGATAAAAAAAAAAAATCTCGAGGTATGAACCCTTGTCTAAGATATAATTTTATCTTTCCTTCTTGTAAGGTTTGTATTTTTGTATATCGATTACCACTTCAATCACTATTCTACCGGTGCATCCGAGTGTTAATATGTTGGAGTGTGCTTACTTTCAGAAAAAAAAACCTAAAATAGATTGAAAATAGGAAAAAAAATCTGGTTATACATACATACATACATACATACATACATATATATATATATATATATATATATATATATATATATATATATATATATACATATATATATATACATATATATATATACATATATATATATATATACATATATATATATATATACATATATATATATATACATACATACATATATATATATATATATATATATATATATATATATATATATATACATATATATATATATA